TTTATGGTCAGGAATTTACCCTGATCACAGACCATAACCCTCTAGTATGGCTGAACCGAGTGGCTGGGGACAATGGACGACTACTGAGGTGGAGCCTAGCCCTACAACTGTATAATTTCTCCATCCAGTATCGCCCAGGCCGGTTCAATGGGAATGCAGACGGACTGTCCAGGCAAACAGAACTTTTACCTTAGAGGCAGACCGGACAGCCCCAAGTTGACCCGAAAAAGGTCAATCCGGGTCTGCCGGAGTGTTCCACAAAAGGGGAGCAGTGTAACAGAACTATGCTGTATGCCTGGGCCAGTGAACTAACCAAAAGCAGCAGGAATTCGTCACATTTAGTGCATTGCAACCATTCGAATGGATTCGCATGAATTCCCTGTGTAAAGTATAGGTGGCCGCCATTTCGGGACTTTACACGTGGCCGCGGCCATCTTACGTGCGAACAGCGGTGTTTGCCTGTCGACGCGTGGAACTAAAATCGGATACGCAAACAGGCGAACACCGCTGAGTCCTCCATACGTCCAGAAGTTCGCACGGAAACTACCGAATCACCGGACGTTCAGTAGTTATGTTCAAACATCTATGGGGATTGCGGCGAACCCCGAGATTCGAATGGATGGCAAGAATTTCATACCTTTTTACCAGGCGAACGGAGACCGACCGCAAGGCCAAAACTCATGGAACTATTTTCGGCTAGTTGGTCTGTGCGGTCGGTCAAAACTTTGGAACTCTGTATCTCCCGAACCATTCATCCGAATGGGCTGATTTTTGGACATGTTGGTCCCCTGAATGAGAGCTATTAAGCGACCCAGGATTTAAAGCTGTACCCCCTGTTTTTGGGGAACATCCAGAACTGGGGTAAAATGTTGTACGTTTTAATTATGTTATATGTTATCTGAGGGGAGGAGACGTGGGGGTGTTACCAGGTATATGATTGGGTGTTTTTATCCTCCCCCTGGGAGTATCCTGTGTGTACCTGATCCCAATAAAAAGCAGGCTGGGTGTTCCAGTCCTCAGATCTTCTTGACCCTTCAAAACGTAGCCTTCTTGGAAGGGGATTATTTGGGAATGTTATTCTGCTCCTGTTACAGCTGAACCTGACTTTTACTCTGGATATCGTAGATGGGATTATACCAGCTTACTTCTCCACAGCAGCTTGCAGGGAAAAAGGACGTCTCCAACGGCCGATATCCTCTCTCTACCAGGGTAGCCCTTACACTCTGTAAACTGGTCTTGGAGCACAGCTTCAAGCTGCGGTAGATTGGATTTGATAATGGGGAAAACCTTTTCATAAGCTCACCACCCAATGACAGATATCACTAAGCGAAGCTTGAGAACATTTTCCATGCTTTGCAATATGACCATGAGTGGTCTGATTGGTTGGCTAGTTAACATACCAATCAGATAGCTCTTACAGCCAAGTCTCGACAGAAGTAAGACTTGGTTAGAGCCTCCACATAATTAACCCTCATGCCTTTGAGGGTTTTTAACTATTTGCCTGTGACTGCTAGCACTGCCAATGGGCAAATAGGATTTTGAATGATCAATGCACTTGCACATAGAAAGTGAATGAGCATCTGGCTAGATGTATTCAGTTTATCATCGGCTCCCCTGTGGTTATTGATAAATCTGCAATTCCGGTTCTGTAGATTGGTTCAGATGTGGAAATCACTGATTTTCCAAACTCACCTGAACTAATGTGACAGAATCGGTGAGACAACAGCCTAATCCTAACTGCATTTGGCTTTGTAAATCTAAACATTGCCAATAGCGTCAGAATGCACCATGATCACTTCAAAGCGCTGAAGGATAACATACTTTTATGATCCATTCATTCAGACTATATGAATATTAATTAATTAGTGAAATAGGTCATGTGACCTTAAAAACTCGTTAAACTATCCAGTTTGTCTTCTTATCTTACCAAATAGGACTTCCCTACCTTTGAATTCAACTTACCCACTTGCAGATTCTATGCTGATATAATCATTTTCTGTCTTTTTTTCAACAAACTTCACACAGGTGAGGAGTTCAAACTGATCGAGTGCTGCTTTAATTAATAACTTTTCTTTCTCCGCTGAGAATAGAAGGGAGAAGTGAGTTCCTGATATCAATGTGAAAAAAATAGCAACAAAACTCGCAAGTTGTTAACTAACGGGAATAGCTTACTGTATATACTGGAAATCGTATAAGGCAGAATAACTTTCCCAGTTTGGGATTTTGGCCAGAAGCAATTTGAACAGACCATGGCACCACGAGAAGGTGCAGGGCGAGGTGCGATGTCACCTTCAAGTAGTTGGTCAATGATGCCTGAAATTAAACATTGTTGATTAGTTATATAACTCAGACCAACTACAGTCTACTGTAAAACTTGAACCCACTTAATCTTAAAAATGTAATACTGAATGATAATGCCAAAATTCTATTTTTACATTACATGAATCTGTACAAATTGGGACAGCTTAGCTGATGTACCCAGTGCTCTTAGCATATCACTGCAACTATTTTTTGCTCTGTAACCACTTCAAAGGCTGTAGTGATTCTACTGCTTACAGTAGACAGTATAAATAAGAGTCCTTGCAGCATACTGATTTAAAACACACCTAAACAAGACTTGAGGGGTAATTGCCCTTCTTTTTTTCCCAGCTTACAAATACAGCATTGGAGACTTTAATTGAAATTTAGTATCATGTAGTGTCATACTTTGCACAGATAAATATAGGGACATTTACATAAACTAGCATAGTTTAAAAGGGAAAAATACATATTGCATGTTATATAGTTTTATTTATTTAATAGTTTTTTTTTTTTTTATAATGTTCTTTTGTAGGCTGCATTACACAGTATGCACAAAGTATGTCTGTAAATATACAGCGTGGCGGATATTTCATTGAACTGACACTTAAGGAGAAGAGAACTCTGCCCATGTGCTTCAACCTCCTGCAAGGCAATATAGCCTCAATATATTATTATATGTTGGATACATTTTTCAAATACTTTATGCTAAACTTTTAAATATTTTTTTCAAAATCTTATAATATAAAAATATATTAGTTATAAAAAAATCAATATATCAAAATCTAAAAATATTTTTTATGTATTCAATGTTTATTGATAAAGGGTGAAGGGGGGGGAAGGGTGTCATCTTTGATACAGAAATTGACGTAGAAATGTTGAGGTATAAATCTCTGTTTTAATATTCTCACAGTAACTGCAAGTGCAAGACTTCAGTAGGCATAGAAAAAACTGAATTGACAGGACTGGCTCCAGTGAGGTAAAGCAAATTGTAAGTATTTGGCTGAGTACACACACAGCAGTGATTTGTATTTGTTGAAGAGGAATAGCATGATTTACTATGCATAATGAGTGAATAATGGAATGTTGTGGAAGGCCCGGTAAAAAAGTAAAAGCCACAAATGTATCTAATATTTAAAGAGTGGATAACTGCTGACAAAAGTGAACACATCTAAAACTGCAGAGAATATAGAAGCATGACATCAAAGGGGTCAGGAGTAGAGTTGAGCGAACCTGGACTGTAAAGTTCTGGTTCGTACCGAACATTAAGCATTTTTGGACCCCGGACCTGAACACGGACATATCACTGTATGTTCGGGTTGGAGTTCGGTGTTCGGCAATTTAATGGTGCGTTTTGAAAGGCTGCAGGGCAGCCAATCAACAAGCGTTTGACTCGTGTGCCCTTAGAAGTCATTACAGCCATACCTACTAATGGCATGGCTGTGATTGGCTAGTGCAGCATGTGACCCAGCCTCTATATATAAGATGGAAGAACTTCTAATGGATATCCAGTTTAATAAGAAAGCGATCCTTGAAAATAGGGCAGCTATGGACTATTTGTTAATGAAACATGATTTAGAGTGTCAGGTAGTAAAGGCATGTGTTGCTTTAATCTTTTGGATCAATGGACCATGAGCATATACAGATTCTTCATGATCTAGTGAAGGCAATAAAACAAGATACAGGATTCTTTGGGGATTGAGATTGGACCTTTGGTCTTGGTACATGGATCAGTATGTTAATTAAGACAATATTGTATTTCTTACTTATCACAGTATTTGTCATAATGATGTTTTTTCTGACATTTAAGTTCTTCTCCTGTCTTCTATTATCCTTGTCTATATCAAAACCTCATGTTGGTCCTATCTTAATTTATATGCCAGCTTCCTCAACCTACAGTGTGCAGACCGGCAAGGAGGGCACGGTTGAAGAGTGGGTGGAAGATGATGAGGTCCTAGACCCCACATGGAATCAAGGTCATGCGAGTGATGTGTGCAGTTTGGAAGAGGTGCTGGTTGCACAGAGGCACCAGCACAGCATAAGAGGGAGCAGGGTGCAAAAGCGTAGCGGCCGTCCCCTAGCGCTCGTCGACATGTATTATCTTTAGAATACCCACAGTTATCCATGTAACAGATGGAGAGATAAAAGGAACCATGACAGATTTAAAGAGCCATTTGCAGTTTCGCAGTCCGGTGACTGGGACCCAGACACTGTCTGGGCGGCGGTTGGACTACCGAGACCCAGTATTGCTGATGTTGGAGTTAGGAGCCACAGTGTGGAATGGATTAGCAGGGTCTGGTGCAGGGTAACTGCACGCCCCCTGGTGTTGAGCACCAGCGTTTGTGCGGCCACATACCAGGACCCTGATGCAGCTTCAGTAAAGAGTACTGGATCCTAGAAGCCATCACCAGACTGTTCCGCAACTTGGAAAAGGATGTGTCATTCACTGTAGCGGCTGAGCGCGCTTTCGTCATTCTCACCCTGCTGCTGCTGCTCGCCTGTCTGCGTTGCAGCGTAACATCGGCCTTCCCGCTCACCGCCTCATGAGAATGTGCTAGCAGCAGCAGGCTATAGTGGATTTTCAGCTGCAGCACACATGGGTCAGTCGCTCTGCACCAGACTTGCCTTCCAACTGATCAGAGTTAAAGGATTTCCAGTGGACTCATTACAATTACAGGGCATCTAAAGAGTCCTGTATTTGTCGTCACTACCTTCCAGCGTCGGGAGTGGGTCATTTGCGCGCCTGCTGCCTTCCTCACATGTGGTAGCTGTTTCTTAGGCTCCCTCTTCGGAATCGAACCCTGATTCCCCGTTACCCGTGGTCACCATGGTAGGCGCAGAAAGTGGATATGGATGACATATGAATGCGTTGAAAAAGTGCTCTCATGACGAGCTGGGTGATCTCCACCGGCAACTTGGTTTGATGGGAGTTGAGCCAGTTCTGGGTGGCCCTAGTGATGTGGCCTGCCCACTGCTTCTCCCCTTTCCTGGTCTCCCTAAACTTTCGGAGGTATTGCTCGGGGGTGACCGCATACCGGGCAAGGAGGATTTGGGTAATAAAGAGACAGTCTCTGATCTGCTCTTCTGGAACAGCCTGGTAAATATCCACTGCCTTCCCTACTAGTTTGCTAGCCAGGATGGTGACCCAGTCGCTGGGGTCTACGTCTCCGAGTAGGCACTAGTGCTCAAAGTCTTGTAAAAACACATCAATGCCTTCTTCTGCTTCCTTGAACTCTTTGAAGGCATTGTATGGTAGCTCGTGGGCCTGGATGATTGTGCTTCCCGGCGCCCTCTGCTCCTTTCTTCCTTTATCTGGGTTCATGGAGGTCGCCCTTTGTCTATTGTTAAGGAAATAAGCTTGCACCTCCAAAAATGTCCTGTTGACAATCTCCTCTGAGGGTGGTTCTTGATAATATGCCAGGTGCCATTACACCTCCTTACGCACTTCCTCCTCATCTCCGGCCCCTGGCTGAGTTTCATTGCCTCACTGCATGCCTGGTCATCCTACATGAGCACAGCAGTCAATTCGACCTTGTTACGCCCACCAGGCGTTATTCCTCTGGCTCCATACAAGTCCTGCAGTGTAGGTCGCTTTAGAGCACTGTAGTCCATGGGTCTGTTGGCAGGGACATGGGATCTTGCCTCTTGCCACCAATTGAAGCGGGACCTGGGTAACCGATGGTTATCCCCTTTGATTAGAATAGGTAAGACCATTTCCCCAGTAACCGGATGGGACACAGTTCCAGGATACAACGTTTGACAATCTTTATTTGGGTACACAGCTTTACCTCCTGTTGTCTCCTCCTACTCAGCTTCTTCCTCCTCCTCCTATACCACCTCCTCATCCGGTCAGTGTAACACCTTCACCACCAACTTCAGCACAGCCAGGGGTAAACAACAGTAGGCTGTTTTCAAACTCATATGTTTGGGGGAGAAACCCCACACTGCGCAGGAGCTGTGGACGGACATGGAACAACAGACCGATGAGTGGTTGTTGCCACTGAGCCTCAAGCCCGGCCTGGTGGTATGTCATAATGGGCAAAAGTGGAGTTTCAGCTGCAGCACGCATGGGTCAGCCGCTCTGAGGAGTTTTCTTTTTTTATATGTCCTAATATTTTGAGGGCTATCCCAATAAAAAAAACAAAAAAAAAAACAAAGTGTTGGCTACCTCCTCCTCCACCACCGCTTCCACCTACACCGCCACGGTCACCGCCTCCTCAACCTATGGGTCACTTTGTATAAACTATGTACACAATAGCAGAGGCTTGTGAAGGCCTTTTCTCCATGCATCAGGACTGCAAGAAATGCACCGCAGGCCGCAAATGTTTATTTTTTTTATATGTCCCAATATTTTGGGGGCTACCTGTCACATCCTGCTCTGTTCTGTGGAGATGTCTGGCCTTGGCTTCTGGTATCCAGTGCTCTTTTTACAATCCTTGCTTAGTTTTTCTTGTTTTTTCTAGTTTTCTATTCCATGTCTGGTTTTCCTTATGCAGGGTTCATTCCATTATTCCGTCCCTGGAATTCCAAATCTCCTGGATTCATTTATGTTTGTTTTATGTTGCCACACCCGTTTGCTTTCCATTTTCCTTTTGTTTCAGTCTGGACCTGCAGGAGTGTTTCAAGTCTCTTCCCTTTCTTGCAGGTAAGTGCTATTGTGGTTTAGTATGGTTCTTTTAGCGAACATTAGGCAGTGTAGGACCTGCAGAATATGGGGTACATTGGCGTTGTGGCAGGCTTATGCAATGTATGATCATATAATGTAACTAAATCCCCATACTTTTCATGTCTCCTCTTGTTTTGCCTATTATATCTTGTCTTGTTTTATTTTGTAATCCTAGTCCATGTCCTGTCCTGTCCTGCCCCTGCTTAGTTAATGTTCCCTTATGTATTGTGAACATGTTCTGGGTTTAGCTTCCTATCCTTCTCTGGTTCTGGGTTCTACTAGTTCTGTCTTGCTCTCATGTTTCGTGCCTGTTCTAGGCTTGCCTTGTTTCTAGTACTGGATACATCTCAGCATTCATCTGCTCTGGTTTCCACTAAGCTGCAACAGGGTCTTGGTTTGTGCTGCACAAACGCTGGTGCTCAACACCAGGGGGCGTGCGGTTACCCTGTAATCCACTTCCACGCTGAAGACTCCCACTTATCATCAGGCACTCAGGGGTCCTGGTTTCCATACCGCCACCCATGACACTACCCTAATTGAAAAAAAAAAAAAGGTGTTGGCTACCTCCTCCTCCACCTACACCGTGTCAGGATATTTATATCGGCAGACATTTTGTGCTAATATAGAAATTAAAAGTGTATATTGCCAGAGTCACTCAGAACAAAGTGGACTCCAATTTGCTATCTTCAGACAAGACAGACACAAAATTTCTTTCCTTGCTTTCAGTAACACTAGCCATCAGCCTGAGCTAAGGAATGCATTATGTAAACAAGCCAAGTGATAAGAAATGAAGCAGGGGGGTGGAATGCTCTGTTTATATGTTAATGGAATAGAAATAATTTTAAACACAGACACTAGTGACAGAGAAGACTAATTTTTACTTTCTAAATCTTACAAGGTCCCATTGTAAGTAAGGGGTGAAATTGAGTTTAGACATGTCAATCCTAGAAATTAAGCTCAAAATTGTTGCCACAAAGACTGAGGCAAATGCTTTGAACTGACAGAAAATTTAAGTTATGGTAGTCATTTTAGATAAGCCAAATGACGTCAAAATCGTCATCCGGAAAAGTTAAGTCTTTCCTGGATAGGAAAGTTTAGTGAGGCAATTGCGCCCTCTATTGACCAAAAACTACATAATACTAGATAACGTAGACACACCTACAGTTTCACATTGGCCTCATCAACTAATGACGTACAGAGAATCTTTCCCTTTAAAAAGTTAGGAACAAAGGAAAGAGAGGTGAGTTTGGGCTTTCAGATTAGGACATTCAGGCAGATATTCAGGACACTCTGGGACTAACACTCAACTCTCAAACTCTCTTGGACACAACTCAAACACTCCTTGACACTTAGAATTTTACTATAACTTTCTAACCAACATCACTTTTCTCTATTACTTACACACCCTCATATAACCAATCATACTCGCATTCAAGTTCCTGGGACCACCTACTCCTCTGATAAGAGCATCTACATCATAACTGGCAATTATGCTGGTTTTATTTAATTAATCTAAATTAAAATCTATTATAGCAGGATGCATGCATGGATAAATCACAATCAGGTCCCATAATTGAGGAATGTTAATTAAATAAAGAATATGTAGTTATAACACTCCATTCTGCAGGTGGAGTCAAATAATTACATAGTACTGGTATCTTACCACGTGTTAGCATACTGCTGCTTTTATCCATGTGTGTTGATTTGCTCTGAAATAAGATATCTTTTTAGGCAAATTAAAATTCGTTTTATAGAATCTGGTAGATTATTCTTATTGGATGGTTCCAGGAAATGATTAATGAGCTGGTTTGAATTTTTTTTTAATTGAAAATTACATGAGAATAGGATATTATATGCCAAGGAGGATCTAGCCAGCATTGAAAGGGTTACTCAGTTGATCTAACTGTTAGACAAGGTTTTACGGCTTTTCGCTGTGCTGTGTGAAGTTTTGCTTTCTGTGTTTGTGAAGTACCCTCATAAATCTTGTAAGTCTTGACCGTTGATGCTGTAGCTTTGCACTGTGTTTAGCCATTGCCTTGTATACAATGTTATTCTAAATATTCACTGATTATAATCCATGCTGCCTAATATTATTTTATTTGTCACAATAAATGAGATCTATTTTTATAACAAATTGTGATTTTTATTTGTATGGAATACCTTTCACTTACATGATAACGATATCTAAGAGAATTGAAATAATGGGCAATTCTCAACTGTATAATATTATCATCCCATAAATATCCCCACAACCGCCACGGTCACCGCCTCCTCAACCAATGGGTCACTTATTATGAAATATGTACACAATAGCAGAGGCTTGTGAAGGCATTTTCTCCATGCATCAGGACTGCAAGAAATGCACCGCAGGCTGCAAATGTTTATTTTTTTCATGTGTCCCAATATTTTGGGGGCTACCACAATTAAAAAAAAAATATATATATAAATCAGTGTTGGCTACCTCCTCCTCAACCTATGGTTCACTTAGTATAAACTATGTACACAATAGCAGAGGCTTGTGAAGGCATTTTCTCCATGCATTAGGAGTTGAGCTTAGTTTGAACAATGAAAGAGCATACCCTGCACTCCAACCCTCTCTCAAATGTATAATTCTGGTGATCCTCCTAACAGCTATGCTTTAGATTTTGATTTATGTTCTTCCAAAGCTAAAATCAAAGATTCCATCTAGTGCTATTTATGGCTCAGCTGTATTTTTATTTTTTATGTTCTTTTAAGTGATTTCCCTATCCACATTTGTTTGCAGGGCACTTGTCCGACTCTTACCCCCATTTTACTTCCTTTTGCAGCCCTCTAGCCCTTTCCAGGACTTTTTTTTTTTAAGGCATTTTAGTGCCCAAAAGTTCAGATCCCCATTGACTTCAATGGGGTTCGGGGTCAAGTTCGATCCCGGGCTTTTTTTTTTCAAAGTTTGGCCGAACCCGCTGGACCCGAACATCCAGGTGTCCGCTCAACTCTAGTCAGGAGATATAAACCATGAGATCATGTTTCTTGAGAAAGTAAATTTTGCTTCCTAAATGTTGGAGATGGGTTCATTAATCTGGTATGCTGCTCTCAAATTTAGACTTGTGTTCCTCATGTGTGCTTTATTATGGTTTATAGTATAGCCTATGTCACTGGATACATATTATCTGTCATTTTAATATAATTTGAAATAAAGATATTTTTATTGCTTATTGTAACGTCACCTTTTTAAATTAAAACTTTTTTTCTATCTTTTTTATAGATATGTTTAATCTTTGCTGATTTTATTTATAACTTGTCCATTTTTTTTTCTCAGCTGTTTTAAATTAAAAACTTTTCCGCTTTTAAATTTATATTTTTCTTGTAGCAGTTTTAGTTTTTTTG